TGCAATTTTTCTACCCATCTGGTGAGGTCAGGCAAAGTGGGCATGTTCCAGTCCCATTGGTTAGATAGTGTCACTTTGTGGGATTCAGGAAACATACCTTCTCTGGTGTGGTATCTGCCTTCCAGAATGGCATCCCCTGAGATTTGTATAGATCCACCACCTTTATGGCTTTCAGAAAAATCATTAAAATTTATTGTACTTGGGTTAGGGCAACTGTGGATCCCCCATGACTTTGGTTTTTTATTGGCAGTGTGTAGTCTTCTGGTCAGAAGTTTATATGTTACTTTTGTTTATGTGTTACTTTTCTTTATTAAGTGACAGCTATTTCCAGTGTCCAGTCAGACTCAGACTGGGTCTTCCACCAATGAGGAAGCATATCTTCTAAGCATATCCTCTGCCACTTCAGCTCTCTCAGTAAACCTACAAGTTAGTTCAGCCGAAATTGATGCAATGTTCTAATACTGGATTACAGGGGTTTTTTTTCTTTCACAATTACCTTGGGAAACGGCAATGAAACATCAAAAAAGACTTCAAATGTTGCTCTTATGATCTGTAAAGATGGTATGGGCACAGAAAAAACCTTACAATGTTGTCATACCTCATTCATTAATCTGACTGTTCCCAGACCAAATTGTAAAGCTATTCCTCTGTAAAACACAAGGAATATTAACATTGCAGGCATAGATTAAGGTCATATTTCTACTTCACCATAAAATAACATTTGTTGGTAGGGATTGGCACATTCAGAGTCTACATTTTTAACCCTTTCAAAAGCAGAATATCAGTTAGAGCCCATGTATAAATTTGGTCCCCCCCAAAGATTATAGTACACCTGTCTACCTGAACTGGCAATCGTTTTCTCCATAGATCCTGTCTCCAACCTCTTCCTATCCAGATATACTGGAATCATAAGTCCCAAAATTCCTAGCCAGCCTTTATCCCTACTTGATTAGAAGGGTAAATGCAGCTCAATTGAAAGGTGGCAGATTAGAGAAAGCTAATTAAAATATTTTCAGTATTTGGCAGTAAAACTATGGCATTATGCATACTGAAGATAATACATTACTAACTCATTAAAAAGCACTCTCCCTAAAATATTGAATGCTTATACTTTGCTCTGCCTAGGGAAAGAGGTGTGTGAGAAAACCGTTAGGTTGTAAATACATGGTCATACTACAATTCAGTCTTAAAGCCTGGTTAATTGCTACATTTATCTAATGCTACACTGATGTTCAAATAATGTTATTTATTTATAACATTTATATAGCTGCCCATCTTATAACCATCTTGGGGCAGCACCATGTTGTAGTTTAACGTAATGGCCCATTCCCACAACATACCAAAACAATGGATTCCTATGACATATTGATTCACAAATCACCCTATTACATTTCAGCCTAGTCTACAAGTAATGTGTTGTATGAAACCAGTGAAAATGTTGCTCAATCAGCTACTTGAAGTGTCTGCAAGACAGCACAGCAGTCTGTCTTACAAATTGTTGTCATTTATCTTATGCAAATTCCTAAGACTACAAAATAAACAATAAGAATAGTTCAATGACAATATATACAAATTAGATACTTTGCACTCTGGTCCTGTAAAATCACAGAATTAGACATTTCAGTTTAGAAAAAAAATTAAAAGCAATCACAAGAATGGGTCTGTGACTGAACTATACCCTTCCTAGCTTTTCTACTCCACGGATATGAACCAAAATTAGAATTTTGTAAGACGAGTCTTATTTGGAATATTCTCTCATTCCTTTATTTATATATTTTACCCGACGGAATCAGAATTTCTTACCTGCATGCTTTCAGTTAAGTATCATTTTACGAAAAACATTTATTTATTTATTTTGTATTATTATGGGCTGCCCACTTCACTAGATCCTACATTAAAATTGTTTCCCAAGTATAAAATCAGTATACACTTATAAAGCGTGCTCCTCTAAAACTTATAACAAGCATAAAATCAACAAGAGTAAAATAACAGCCAATATTTCTGTTCCCCAAACCAGTGTTTTGCAACCTCCATAACTTTAAAATGTGTGGCTTTCAACTCCCAGAATTCCCCAGGTAGGAAACACTGTCCCAAAGCTTTGATTAAAGAGAACAGTTTCTCAGTTTTTGGAATACTAGAAGGGTTGGAACTATTCTAATTTCTGAGAAAAATGTCACTTTCTAAAAAAATCTTAAGACGAGATTCTGTATGTAAAGATGGCCAATGGCAGACGGTTCAGAAAGTGAAACTTTACATTTCCCAGAAATGTTTAAAACTGGTGTGACTGTAATCAACAAGAGTCAGAGAAAGGTGGATTGGTTTCCTCTGCAGGAGTCAATTCAATGTTGTGCATTCTATCCCGGAAGCCCAATACTGAGGTTTCCAATCAAATTAATAAAAACCAACATCACAGAGTTAACATGAGAATTCATATGAGCTGGCATGTAGTATTGAACTGGGTCGTGACCTGGATCTGGAGGGCTAAATTCATTTCCCAGCTAATCTGAGCTGATGATAGGACAAATTGCCAACCCTGTGTTCAGTTGCCCGTAAAGATGAGAAATAGTCAATACATAATTCCCCGGGCTGTTGGATCCAAAAAGAGCTAGAAAAAAAAATGTAAACACACTTTAATCAATACCAACATCTAAAATACTGTCATTGACCCATTGGCTAATACCTTGTCCAAGTAAAATAGCTACATGTTAAATCAAGAGCAAGGATATGCACAAATTTTACAAGTTAGCCATCTGATGATGACCAACAAATTGAAATAACAATGTAGCAAAGGTAGGGTATAATTAAGATCATTAACACAAAATTGTTGCCATTTGAACCAAGGTAGATACAATTCATCAGAGATAGGTCCAATGCCTTCATAATGTTCAGTTTAGAATAAAAGACGGACTTTCTAGTCACTGATCTAGAACAGGGCTGTCCAACCTTGTCCCCTTGAAGCCTGGCGGACTTCAACTCCCAGAATTCCCCAGCAAAGCTGGCTGGGGAATTCTGGGAGTTGAA